CAAGTTTTCGCACAAAAATTCATGGGCGTATTGGAAGTGTATCAAAACAAACGCCAGTTCTGCCAGAACAATTCTTAAAAAAGAACGGGCCTCAAAATTAGATTTTCAAAACTATTCCGATGGCGATATGATCACGTATAGTGAAAAAAATTAACGATTCTCAACCTGCAGCAATTCTCAACCTGCAGCAATGTCCCCTTCTAATTAATTTGTACTACTAAATTTGAAAAAATGGTCCTAGTGCATTTCCAGCGATTTCCAACAATTCTAGGAGGCAGCACTTCGTACTAAATGGTACTAAACTGTGCCAAAATGTACTAAAGATGTAAATGTACACAACTGAACCAATTCCGTTGGTAATAATATCAAAAAATGGTCAGCTGCATAGGACCGAACGAGAGCGCGCGCGCGAGTGAAGGTCCTGTGCAGCTGCCCACCTCTGCGCTCTCCACTCCACCTCTGTGGGCACAACCATTTTTTTCACAATCAGAAAGAAAGATAAGAATGCTCAAACTCAAATAAGCAAGCAATACAGAAGGTTCTATGTGATCCTCTCTACGTTTATATTACCACAACCACTTTTATTCAGTTTGTATCAATATGGTTTGTTTTATTTCTGTTGTTTATTATTGTTTAGTACATTTTAGCACAATTTAGTACCAATTAGAACGTGTACTGCCTCCCAAAATTGTTAGGAATCGCTGGAAATGCACCAGAACCATTTTTTCAAATTTAGTACAATTTAGTACAAATTAGTACAGATTAGTACATTTTGGTACAGTGCGCTACATAGCTCTGATGAAGTACTAAAACTTTGCATTAGTGATCAATGCTTTATTTGCAACGGCTGAGAATTTATAGGCTTACATACTGAAAAATGCACACCTGTCAGAAAATAACGGTAAATCATAAAATTGCAAATCGCACCCTTAGAAATGAAATGTAGTGACCATAGGCAATTTAGAGCAAAAACAAAATCAAAAAAATATTCATATTCCAAAAAGTTCTGTAAAGTAAAGTTGTGCCTTCATCGTTTACCGCAAGTGTATGGAAATCTGTATCGGTATATACTTAGCTAATAATTTAGTGACAGCGAACGCGTTATTTAACGCAAAGGTATATCAATGTATATATATCGGTCTGTACGCTGAATAGACAATACATACAATGAATTGATATACATTTACTCCATCTCTGGATTTTATAGTCTATTTTGATAAGTCGACTTGAATTTAAAATTGATTATTTAGTTTAATTTTCATTTTTATTTTAGTTTTGATTTAATTTTATTTTGAATTTTTCTTAGTGTGTTTAGCACGAAAAAGAGCAGAGCATTGAAACTATACAACACACGAGACACGTCGTAGGTGACGCGCGCGTGCACACTCATAGCTGCCGTTCGTTCCTCGTGTGTTTTATATGCTTCTCTGTCTGGTTCCGTGTGAATGAAAGAGACAAACACTGTGCGCGAGAATCGATACATGAACGAGCGCGCGTCACAGCGAATATGCACGCAAGCAACAGCTGCTGTCGAACAGATTTGTTCACCAGCAGCAAATATATATGCAGCAGTTTCAATGCTCTGAAAAAGAGTGGCTCGAATCGTCAAATCGGTAATAATAATTGATAGTTAAAATAGTCAAGTGAGTGAATAAGTTAATAGAATAGTTAGATAGTTCGTTAGGAAAATCGGTAAATTCAATAATAGTTGGAAAAAAAATAAAGAGATTGATCACAAAATTGTTTTTTCTCCATTGATTGTGAAGCTATTTCAATCATGGCTAATGCCTTAATAATATGAATCTCGAGTACTTTTGATTGACGACAAACGACAATTTGAATGAAACATTCTCGAACCGATATCTTTTCAAGAGTTACAATAACTCGGTTCGAGTAGAGCCATAACATTTTTTATAATGCACTTTCGAGATGAACACCTGAGATTGATATTGACTTCTCTGCAACCAATTCAATCAAGGGGGAAAGTACTAGTATTTGTATAATTCGAAAAATGCAATCTAGTACAAAAATAATCCCAAATAATCCTTCGGAATTCTCAATAATGCTCGATAATGCTATTCATAATATCAATAAATAATAGCGAACTATGGTCAAGTAATTGATGCTTGCGTGCATTTGAATGCCTTGAAAACAAAGTGGGTCGATAGTAGATATGAATTGGTGAGACCTAGAAGAACACAAGTTTGTCAAACGTCGTAGCAATAAAGAGAAGTATATTTTACTGCAACTAACAATGGTTGAAAGAATGTATGTTCATTTTTGGCAGGTCGTCCCGTTTTTTCACGTTTTCCGCGTAACTGATAGGAGATAACAACTAGTTGTCTTCGGAAAAGTTGTAGTACTTGAGATCCGCTATAACATTGCTGAAGACAATTATCTCTTATCTCTTATCAATTGGACGCAAATCAAAAACATCGGCCTATGGCATGTTTTTTTTATCATTCTTCGCGTTTTCTGCGAAACTCATAGGAGATGAGTGAGAACTGTCTGAAAAAAAGTTGCGCGAGGCCTCGAGCACTATAAATTTGCTGAAGACCGAGTATCTATCTTTTATCAGTTCAGCGAAAAACACGAATTTCGTTCTAGGGGAATCACTCACTTTCCAAATGGTGTGAATCTTACGAATCTTATAAATTTTTTGTTTACTGAAATCCAATATGGCGACTGACAGTTCTGTCGCCATTTTCAATTTGGATTCACGAGATTCATCAGATTCATCATATTCATGACGATTTGTTCACAGTAATGTGTTGAATCTGAGTGAATCTTTTGAATCTGTGTGTAAACATAAGAATATTGTTTGAATTTGGAAAAAGACTTCAATCATACAAACTGTATTGAATGATAAATTCCCCCAGATTTTGTTGTACAATTGCGATTTTTTGCGTTTTTCGCTGAACTGATAAAAGATAACGACTTGGCGTCTTGAGCAAATTTATAATGCTCGAGGCCTCTCGCATGGTTCGCTATTATTTATTGATATTATGAATAGCATTATCGAGCATTATTGAGAATTCCGAAGGATTATTTGGGATTATTTTTGTACTAGATTGCATTATTTGAATTATACAAATCTAGTACTTTCCCCCTTGAATTCAATTTGTATATACTGCCATTTCGAAAAGAATTGTTCAAATCTAATGTATCAATTAAGGAAGTAATCAATATGGTAGTCGATATGCGTTCGCTCACACCTGTGACACAATTGTACATGAAATTTGAAAATGTTTTGAAAATATATTTGTTTTTTCATCTTTTTTATCTTTTTTTTCTGGGAGGAAAGGTAAGCGATTATGCAAACAAATAGATCTGATGAACTATTTACGTGATTCGAATTTCGAAAAATATTCGAATGCATACTATTGGAACTACATACGACGTAAATGTTATACAATTATGATATTATCACAAAAAATAAAGCGCAGTTTGTCTATTGTTCAACGTAAATAAAGTGGTAAATGTAAATTAAGAAGAAAAAACCAAAATGTTTGCCAATCAAACGAATTTTTATCAGGTACATTACGCTGAAGTCCGGTGCGAATAATTTGTGCTCGATTTGTGCTGTCCAATGGAATAATTTCATAGATTCTGACACCAAAAATTTCAGGGGGGTCAAACCAAAAATTCCTTTGGGAGTCAAAAAAAATCAATTCTATCTAGTGTAACATCGGAATCGGGAAAAAATCGATTCTATCTAGTGTTTAATGATACCTCGGGGGCAAAAGTGAGGAGCAAAAAAAAGGTCCTCACTTTTGAAAACAAAGTCGGAAAATGACAATGGGTCCGAAAAAATTGTTGGGGGTCAAATCTCGCCAGCAGGGGTCAGGATCAACGAGATCAGACTATGTCAGAATCTATGGGTACCATCCATTCTATTTGTGCTGGCTCGAGAGGCTAGCACAAATCGTCGACTTTTGAAAAACTCGACTTTGGGCACTTTTATCGTCGCTAGGCTATAACATTTGTGCTCGATTTGTGCTGGCAAATGCTTTTTCCAGATTGGAAAAATGTTCACTGGAGGCCGAGCACTAATCGTCGACTTTTTTGAAAAATCAGGAGAAGTGTTCGAATACACCTTTCACAGGTCCAAAAAAATTTTGTTTAAGAAGAATTGTATGTGGAATTCTCAAGGTAAGCACAAAATTTTTATGAAAGTTCGAAAGAGCATAAATGTATGTATTATGAAATTTGCTAAGAAAAATGTCAAAGTATGAAAGGCAAGCTTCCTATTTACTTACCATATCCGCCGGTGGTGTTACTGTTTTTTAAGTTATTGAAAAAAGCAAGCAAAAAACTTACTTATATCAATTCAACTTTTCATCTGTTTTAATTACCACAGCGAAAAAAATAGACTTTCTTTTTGTAATATTAAGAAAACAAAGAATTTTAGTTCAACAAGTTTGATTTATTTCTCATCTGTTTCTTTTGCACAATAAAAGCCATTGGGTTGCTTCCATTGCGGGCATGCACTTCATTTACGTACTTTCTGATGAGTTTGGCTTTGAATCTATAGACACTTTTGTGCGCCGAGTTCATGCGAAGCATCTTTGTTTGATGTATTTCTTGACTCGCTCGAAAGTCTCTTGATTGGCCTGTAATTCACGGAAAATAGGTGGAGATATGAGTGGAAGAGCAATGGAAGAAAAACTGTGAGAATCTATAAAACTTTTTTGTTTTCTTACTTGTTTCAAGTTGGCGAGGAATTTGTGGAGAATTTCGCGGCTTTGTTCAACTTCTTTGGCAACGCATCTATGAGAAACATAAGCGGAAATTGGATTCGAAACAGTTAATTTGGTTTTTATCCCCTTAAGAATAAATATGTGTTCATGAGTTCATGATAACTGGACAAATGAAAGTGAAAAGGAAATGTAAAAGAAGGTGCAATGAAGCTTACTTTGCTGCTTCCCATTTGCTTGGTAAATTTTTACAGGCCTTGACTCGTTCGTGCAATTGTTCCAAGTCTTTTTTGTATTCTCCCCAAATTTTATTGAAGTCAGTCTCTTTGACAGCATCGCCAATGGCTTCGGTGATGCACTTCACCTTTTCAACTCCGTTTCCCTGGTTTCCGTCGGTTTCACCTTCGCTGGCAAATTCAGCCATGAGTTCGGCATATGTTTGACCGGAACAGCGTTGTTGAATTTGACTTTCGAATTCTTCCATGATCTGTGGTTTTTCAGCGTTAGCCAGTTTAATGTAATCATTTGTCAATTGAAGGGTTGCAGCTGCTTCGCTCGCAACGCAGCTAAAGAAATGTGAACAATTTGGAAGGGGAAAATGTAAGTCATTTGTTTTGCGAACAATTAGCGACAATGAATCAATAATAATGCAGGCTTCTATGCCAATGAAACGAAAAATGTGGCTAATCTGTTTTCCATACGTACGCAAGGACTTGGATTTGGTTCCCAGCATATGGACATTTCTTCCAATTGTTGATATGTTGACGCAATTCTGGTTCAGTCTTTGACCATAATTCTCCTAATCCGTTGGCTTTCGATACATCACCAAGCACATCAGCAAAGCATTCAAATTTTTGTGGGGCTGATCCTTGGAACTCTTCGGCTTGATCGTGCAAATCGAAGAAAACGGCGTTTTCTTTGAAACACTCGGCTACAACCTTGTCTTCGATCTCCTTCACAAATTCCCATTTGGCCTCCTGGTATAAATCATTCCAAAAATCAAATTAGGGTTTTGCTTGAAAATTTTCGCAGTGTAATTCGCATCAATTAACTTACAGCAGC